CCCCCTCCCACCGTGGTACCCCCCTCCTTCCCTCACCTGGAGGCACACAGCACCATGCCCTGAGACTCCACTCCCCTCATCTTCTGGGGCTTGAGGTTGCAGAGCAGCACCACGAGCCTGTCCTGCAGCTGCTCCCTGGGGACGAACTGCACCAGGCCGCTGACCACGGTGCGGGGCTCGGCCTCGCCCACGTCGATCCTCTCCACGTACAGGCTGTCTGCGTCGGGGTGCTGCCAGGGGAGGGGCAGGGGTGGGAATGGGGTGGTACAGGAGGGGGCAGACCCTCCCACACCCCCCAAATGTCCATGTGGGGTGGTTACTCCCTCCCCCCCCTCGCTGTACCTTTTCCACGCTGATCACTTTGCCCACGCGGATGTCCAGCCGGGATGGGATCACTTCCTCTGGCTCCGAGTTCTTGGTGCCCTTCTCTCCAGGCTCTGCAGGGCAGAGGGAATGGTCACACCACTCAGCATAAACCCAGGGAGCTGGCCAGGAGCACAGTCACCCCCAAATGCAGATCCTGGGGGGAATTCCCTGCAGGGAATTCCCTGCTTGTCTCTACACCAGGGAGCACAGTCCACCCTCTGCTGTGTTGCCCTCTACAGCACCAGAGCAGCATCTCCAGAGCAGGCAGACAGCCTGGCATTGGCCTTCCTGAACTCTCCCAGTGTTCTCCAGGGCTGTTTCTGAGACTGAAGTTTCAGAACTCCTCTCTGACCTCAGCCCCTGGAGAGACTCTCTCCCACCCAGCCCCACGTGGTCAGGGCCCCGCTTCCCTCAGCTCCCAGCACTTCCTTACTGGCTTTGGATGGGTTGGGATATGCAGCACTGCTCAGCTTCTTCAGCTCTGGGCTGTTGAACTTCTCTCTGATGGGGTCAAGCAGTTTGTTCAGGGCCACCTCCACCGAGTTCTTCAGGTCTCCGGGGTGCACGACCTGTGCGTGACAAACACGGTCCTGCCTGAGGCCCAGGGTGGGAACTGGAGATGAACCCCAACCTTTGGACATCAGAACCCTTCTTCTGGACACTTCTGCTTCCATTTGGGAACAGCTGAGAAGGGTTTAACCTGCTGCTCTGTTCCAGGACAGCTGGTGTCCCCACATCCTTCACCCCTCCTCTCCCGGCTGGGAGCACCCCTGTCAACGGGCCACACTCCACACCTCTTCCCAGTGTGGATCTGCTGCTCCCAGACTGCTCATGGCACAGGGAGAAGGTTCAGCCCCTCCCAGCACTCACCTGCTCAGCAAAGTCCTTCTCCAGGGCCTCGTAGTCCGTGTAGGTTTTGTTCCCTCCCCACTTCTCTTCTCGCAGCACCACAAACTCTGTGATGCACAGATTGTAAGGCTCAGGTTTGCTCAAGGCTCAGATAAAACCACCTGAACTAAGGTGGGGACCACAGGCTGGGGAGGTGGCACTCAGGGGGGACACATTCCTGTCCCCTCCTCCACAGGGAAAACACCCCCAGGCGTGGTGAGCCCTCACCTGACTTGAGGGGGAAGAGGACGTGCTTGATGAAGGAGAGCACACCGTTGTTCTCCACGTTCCCTGGCTCACAGAAAGCCTTCTTCAGCTTCTTCTTCACATCCTCCTTACGGTCCAGGAGATCAATCTTTGAGTCCTGCACCAAGAGATCTCCTCAGCCCAGCCCCTTCACCCAATGTTTTGCCCCAAAGAGAAAACTCACGAGGGAGTCGCTGTGTGAGCTGAGAGGTCACCCTGCCTTGGGGTGCAGCCTCTCCACCCCCTAGTCATCAACCTGCCCCTCTACAGCCCCCTGGCACAGCCAGATCGGGCACCAACCTCCTCTGAGGAGCTCATTTTGCTGCCTGTCAGCCCAGGAACCATCGGGTTCATCAGATGGACACGCTTGGCATAGCCCAGGGAAGGGAGGTACTGGGAAAAGGCAAAGAAAGAGGCAAGTCAGGGACAATGCTCATCCAAAGATCACCTTTCACTCACAATCCCCGCTTGCTCCTGGCTCCAGGTGACTTTGGAATCTGGAATAACAGGACCCAGAGAGCCACTGTGAGCTCCCAGGGCACAGAGAGGCACAGCCAGGGATGAGCAGCCAAACACCAGAGCCCTGCAGAGCAGCAGCACAGAACACTGTGGTGCCAACCAAAACCCCCCACACCCTTCTCCCAGAGGATCAGCGAGTGTCCAAGCCCTCCCTCAGGCCCCAGCACAGCAGAAACCACCCTTCCCACCCACCACCATTCCCAACCTTCTCTGCGAAGGTGAAGATCTTTCTCTGATCGACCCCTCCGAACTGCGCGTCCACCTTGAGATACTCCTCGTCCAGCGCCTGTGGGGACACACAGAGCCCTGAGGCTGGGCCCAAAACGCCTCACTCCAGCTGTGCTGAGGTCCTGCCCGTCCCTCAGCCTCTCCCAGGGCACTCCCACCCTGGGAAAGGACGGGAATGTTCTGGACTGCAACTTTGCGCCGCTGCCGGGTGGGATGCTGGGGTGGAGAACAACGACCTGGCTGCCCAAATCCTCACACCCCTGGCTTTGCCAGCACCTCCCTGGGCAGCCCCTGCCTCACCTGCAGGCCTGGGTAGAGCAAACCACTCAGCAAGGGGTGCTCCACCTGCTTCACCACCTCCGCCCCGGCCTTCTTGGCATCGTGCTGCGTCACCAGCGAGGACAGGCGGTACACGTCCAGCGTGTATTCCCTGCGGGAATGGCACCCCTGAGCCCCCCTGGCACGGGGGCATCTCCTCCCTGGAGGCAGCCCAGGAGCGGGGCAGGGGCGGGAGGAGGCCGGGACTCACTTGCTGAGCTGGTAGTCGGTGCCTCGGACGAACTTGAGCCTGTCCAAGGGCACCCCGATGCTCTCCAGCACGGCCTTGATCACCTGCTCGTAGTAGCGGGTGCGCAGCTCCAGCAGCTCCCAGGGGGCCTTCATGTTGTCCAGGTAAGCGTGGAGGTCGGCAAAGAGGATTGTCACCTGGCACAGAGGGTGGAGGTCGCTGCCAGGAGTCCGGGGAACCATCCCCCTTTCCGTCCCCGGGGTGTGTGGGGTGCCGGTGTGACCCCCCCTCACCTCGCAGCCGGCCTTCAGGAAATCCGCGATCTTGGACATGGGCACGAAATAGGCCACGTGGGGCTTGCCCGTGGTGGCCGTGCCCCAGTAGATCCTCAGCTCGCGCTCCTTCAGGATGGCCAGGAGCTTGTCCTCGCCCAGCACCTCCTGCGGGGATGGGGGGGGACACACAGAACACGCACATCTGGCACAGCTGGGGAGGGCGGGGCAGCCCCGCGGGTGGGCGGGCTGCGCACATCGCGTGTCCCGGGGTGCTGCGCGTTCCAGGGGCTCATCCCCGGCTCTGATCGCCCCGCACCCCTTCCCTGGGCCCCCATCCAGCTCTGATTTCCCCCCGACCCCTCCCACTCCGCATCCGATCCTGCCCCCCGCTCCAGCTGCGGTCTCCCCGAAACCTGGACCCGGTCCTGCCCCGATCCCTCCTCCCCATCCCCTATTCCTGCCCTATTCCCCCCGATCCTGCCCCGATGCCCCCTCCCCGTTCCCCACCCCCCCTCCCCTGCAGGTACCTGCAGGTTCCGCGTGATGAGCTGATACTTCTCCTGCGGGCCGGGCGCGGGCTCCATGGCGGCGGCTGCTGGGGCAGGACAAAGCGTTACCGGAGCCCCCACCACCCCAGGACACCCCAAAACCCCCAAAATCCCCCTTTCCCTCCCCGTCCCCACCGACCTGCCCTGGTTGCATCAGCCCCGCTCGGCGCTCGGCTGGCGATGCCTGGGCGGCACGATGGCCGAGCTGCCGATGGGGAGGTGAAGGGCGGGCGGGAGGGGGCCGCGCTCCGCCAATCAGAGGGCGTTTCGCTCGAGAGGGGTGCCGCTCTCCGCCAATCAGGCGCCGCCTCGCGCGCGCGGGGGGGGCGTGGCCTCAGCGCCGTTAAGATGGCGGCGGGTGAGGGCCGGGCCGCGGCCGCTGCTCGGGGGCCTTTATCATCTTTATCATCTCCTTTATCTCCTTCGTTTGGGGTGGTTTGCCCCTTTCCGCGCCGCTCGGGGAGCGGCCGCTGCTCCCGGCGGGCTGCGAGGAGGAGCAGGAGGGCGTGGGCTCGCCCCCAAAGCCCCGCCTGGGGGCGGTGCCCGTTGAGGCGCCGGTTGGGCGGTGCCCGCTGGGGAAGGGAGGGAGAAGGGAGCGCTCCGTGAGGGGCTGGCGGCGCTGTCAGCGCCTTCGAGAAGGGAAGGCTCCAGGGAGACCTTACTGCAGGTTTTGAAGTGCCTGAAGGGACGCCAGGAGAGGGATTTTGGGCAAGGGATGGAGGGGCAGCACACAGGGAATGGCTTCCCGCTGTCAGAGAGCAGGGATAGATGGGATATTGGGAAGGGATTCCTCCCTATGAGGGTGGGGAGGCCCTGGCACAGGATTGCCCAGAGAAGCTGTGGCTGCTCCTGGATCCCTGGGAGTGTCCAAGGCCAGGTTGGAGCAGCCTGGGATAGTGGGAGATGTCCCTGCCCGTGGCAGGGGCTGGGACTGGATCATCTCTTAAATTCCCATTTCCATGGAGTAAGTCCTTGCACAGCCCCAGAATTCCACACACTGCTGTGGGAATGGCTTGGGAATCATCAGGCACACAAGTTCCCCGAGTGGAGCTTCCAGAGTCCTTCATGTAGGGCTGGTTAATGGAAAATGTCCCTGCCCGTGGCAGGGGGTGGGACTGGATGATCCTCAAGGTCCTTTCCCACCCAAACCACCCCGTGATTCCGTGGTCAGGAGCTGCATTATCGGACTGCCACACCCCATAGGACCAAACCCACGTTTAATTCGGTTTTATTTGTGGTTTTCTCGGAGCACTTGGGTGTAAATTGCAGAGTTGCAGCAGCACTGGGGCTGCTCCTGCTGCCTCCACGTGTTCCTGTGGGGTGTTTTTACACACACAGCTCATTCCCCAGGTGTTTGTTTTTTTCCTACCGCATCATTCTGAAAGTGCCCTGAAATTTTTATTCTTTAGGCAGAATGACAAGAGGAAGCAGCAGAAATTGCCAGGTTTTATCCCTGCAGTTGCACACACACACACCCCCTCCCTTTTTTAAGCAGTAGGTAGTCGAAGCAACAGGAAGACAAAAAGACATTCCTTTAAATCCTTGCTCAAAAAGAGGACAGGAAATACCTTTCCTTAGTCCAAATTCCCCTGCTGGGTGAGAGTCAAGTGCAGGGCTTTCAGGTCCAGAGATTCCCGTTGGGGGAGTCCTCCCTGGGAGGAAAAAACACCATTTGTTTGTGAATGCTTGGAAACCACTGAGTTTTCCGGGAAAGGTTCTTTATCTGGTGATCTTGGGTTGTGATGTGTGTTTTGTGTGAGTGATTAATCCCCTCCTGAGTGTCCCCTCTGCTCCTTTACTCTTCCCTTGCTCGTTTTTTTCCTGACCCTCCCTAAAAATAGACTTTTCCCCGTGTTTATTTGTGTCTTTGCAGGGTGGGCCTTGAGGCACCGGGAGGTTTTATTTAATACCTGAAGTGGGAGCTGGGAGCTGGGGTTGTGAGCTGGGATTCCTGGGCTCTGCTGGGAGTGATTTGCAGCAGTTTTGCAGGAGGTGGCACCGAGGTGTTGGTGACTGGGGGTTTGTGTTGGTCCTGCCTGATAAAACCCCCTGTCAGGGGGATTTGGTGGTTGTTACGTGTCAGGACCCCAAAGAGTCGAGAATAGAGATCAAGGAGTTCAAGCTGTGGTGCCTCAGCCAGTGTTTTCACCTGCCCTGTTATCTCCCAGCACCTTTGGGAAGCAGCTGGGTTCATTTTATTGACGGTGTTGTTTTGCTGGCAGGTTGGAGCCGACTCCTGCTGATTCCTGCTCCGAAGGGGCTGCTCAGAGGGCACCGGGAGCTGACAGAGCTCAGAACAGGCCTCTAGAGCTGGCAGCAGAGATCCAGGCAGCGCCAGCACCATGGCAGACGGTTCCCCTCATCCCCCTCACCCCCCTGGGCTCTGCCTGCGGCGGGAATTCAAACAGGATGCACTTCCCAGGGCCAAGAGGTCGTCGGATTCGGCGGCGCAGCTCCCGGCCCTGCAGTCGGCCAAGAGGGTGTGTGTGCTGAGCCAGGCCTGCAGCACTCCAAAGCCATCAGACAGCCTGCTGCTCCTCTCCCCGGGGTCTCCCTGCTCCCATTTCCTGGATGACAGCGGCCAGGGTGATCTTGCCGCTGATTTCTGTGGGTCGAGGTACGACGACGTGGCCGTTTCGCTGGACACCAGCGGGTGCTTCGACGACGCCGAGCTGGACGACTCCCTGCTGGAACTGTCAGGCAGCGAGAAAGGGAACTCTCCCTTCGATTACACCGAGGAGGAGATCCAGGAAATCTTGGCAGATGACTGCATGGAAGCTGAGCAGCAGCACCTGATTAGCCAAAGCCATCTGAGCCAGAGTGTAAATGAGGAGAGCGGAGAGGCCGAGAGCGGCAGCTGCAGCGGGGCCTCGCTCGGTGAAGATGCCGCGGAGATGGCGGAGGAACCGGAGGAACCTCTGCCCCAGGAGGGTTCCACAGTCAGTTCTGGGTGTTATCCTGGCTTTCTGAGTGGAAGTGCCGGTTTGGGTGGGATCCACCTGCAGCAGGAGCTCGACCTGCAGGATCTCCTGCACCTCGGCCCGTTCTCTGCCGGCCGTTCCGATGAGCCCCCGGAGGGCAATTATCAGGTGGAGGTGGAAAGAGAAGCTCTAGAAGCAATGATAGATGATTGTTTAGGATATGCTACGACTGCTGGTAGCTGCATTCCCGAAGAACCCCTGGAGCCTGAAGGCCAGGAAAGCCTGGCTTTGGATTGCCTGGGAAGAGCCGTGCCCGTGTCTCACCTTGGCCGGAGCGCAGCTGATGAGAGCCCAGCACCTGGGGCTGGAAACCAAGGGCTTCCCAAAGCAACAACGAGGTGGTTTTCAAGGAAACCAGACTCTCCAGAGGATGGTGAAGGGGAATCTCCAGGAGCTGAGCAGCCATCAGGAGACGTTAAAGTAAACTCATCTTAATTCTTGTAGCTAAAATGTTTTTAATTCCATTTCCTTGGGTAATATCCATAGGCACACAAGTGCTGTGTTTGTACAGGGAAGGATTTTTCAGGTGGAGCAAAATGTGATTTTTATGTAACTGTACAAGCAAAATTTGCATGTTAATCCATTTTTTCCTTACCTTTCCAGTTAAGTGACACAACTGTAGTCCAGACTGTGCAGGAAGAGACAACCAGTGGGAAGAAATCTGGCAAGGTTATTATTGCCCCACAGGAGAAGGAGAAAAGGTAATTTCTTAGCAAGTTTCCACTTTGAGAAACACCCAGTTATTTCCCCAACCAGCTTGTTGGTTTGGTGCTGCTGGGTTTTGTCCTTGTCGTTTAATTAGGAGGCACCGAATTAGGGGGGAAAGCACTTAATAATTTACCCTGGAAGAGGGGGATGGTGCAAATGGGAAAGGAGGTGGTGAAGCCGGTTTGGGGCAGTGGTTTGAAGGCAGAACCGGGGATGTTTGTGCTGTTGTGGCTCCTCCCCAAGCGCTTTTCCTGCAGATGGCAGCAGCGGAGCGGATCGGGATGGTTCCTCCTGCTCTCCCCTTCTCCTGGAGGTGCCACTTCAGGTTTTTTTTTCCCTTTAGACCTGCTGCTCTCAGGTGTTTTGTGCATTCCTGTTCCTGGCACGGCCCTGGGTGATGCGAAAGATCTGCTTTTGAGGGCTCTCTGTGGGTTCCTGGCGAGGTAACCAGGGCAGTGACCTGCCAGGTCACTCAGCTGACACTCCTGCTTTGCTCTGGGGTGTTTTATCTTTGCAGCTTTAGTCAAATAAATACCTTTTTTTTTTTTTTTTCAATCACAGAACAGGGCTGCAAGGAGGTCATGCCTTTAACAGTTCTGCAGGGCACTATGTCCTCTCTGTCTTCTGTAACCTAATTTGACAAATAACCTAAAAAAACCCCACCCCACCCTAACACTGTTTATTATTTTAAAGACTGAAACAACGGCCCTGCATGTCAGAAGTGAAAGCTGAGCAAAAGAAACGTTTCCATCCAGAGTGTGCACATCCACATGATGAAAAGTGTCCCCCCTGTGTCAGGTAAACCCTCAGGTGGGATGGGCTGAGGCTGGTGGGGAAGGGATAATTGATATCCTGGCAGGAGGCCTGGCTGGCTGGACTGGTGTTCTTGGGTGGTTTTAATGTGTTTGTTTTCAGAGGGGATTAAAAAGTGCCTGTTGCACTTTGTTCCAGCACTACCACACGCACACAGTTCCTGTGCAGGCATCAGTCTTGCTGCAGGGCTGGTTCAAATGAGCTTCAGAGGTGGGGATACCTGGGAAAAACATTGTAGAGGGAATTTGTGTGTCAGGAATGTTCCCAAAACAGGCCTGTGTTAGCTGGGGAAAGCAGAGCTGAGCTCTGGCTTGGTGTTGGAAGGTAAGTTGGTCTTGTCAATTCACAACTATCCCAGAATCCCTGAGGTTGGAAAAGCCCTCCAAGCCTATGGATCCCCCCCTGTGGAGCCAGGTGAGTGTTTCAGCTGAAGGATGACATCTGATGGGGTAGGCCTGGGATGTTCTGAAGGGCAAAACCTTCTGGTATCTTCTCCAGCCACGGCCTCCCACTGTGGTTATTTTGAGTGTCCACGGGCGCAATAATTGTCATTTCTGGCGAGTGGTAAGGAAGTGACAGCTGTGTGGAGCCTGCACTTACCCAGGCACAGGAGCAGCTGCATAGCCACAGGGCTGCTTCCAGTGCATGAATGCAGCATCAGTGATGCAGAGGGGACGAGGCAGGCGAGGCTAAAGTGGCCTGTTTTCTCTTCCTTCCGAATTAAAAATGCAAGGCATATGTCGCGAGTCCCAGAAAATCAGGCAGGGGCTCTGAGTGAGCGGGGCTGAGGAGTGAAATACAGCTCTGCCTTGCTGGGGAAGAACATTGTCTGGGATGCACACAATTTGATTTTCTTATTAGGGCAAGCCTCTCTTATTTCCAAATAGCTGCAGGCTTGGAATCCTGCCCGACAGACAGCGTGGGCTTCCCCAGTTGTCACAGATAAACCCTCTCAGCGGGCTGGCTGTGCCCTGTGTGCCGATCCCAGGCACCTGGATCTGCAGCCTTGCCTCGTGGATCCTTTGCATGGGAAATGCAGAGCCATCCCAAGAAATCCATGAAGGGAAATCAGCAGGTTTCAGAGCCAGCCAGGGGAAGGTTCCCTTTGGGAAGCAGTAACTAATACATTGCTGCTGCAAATCTTCAGCTCTGTTTTGAGTTGCAAATCTCCTGGCATTTGTCTCAGTGTGATGTTTGCCTTTGCTATCCCATCTTTTATGTAATCTGTCTGTTCTTCCTTGTATCCTGGCTCCTGCTGCTGGGTTGTCTGAGGGAATTCCTGCCTGTCTGCAGCAGAGATTTTTGTCTTCTCCCTCATCTGCACAGTGTCTTGCATTTGCAGGTTCTCCATAAACTTTCACATGTATATCTTAGATATCTACATCTTAGATATGTTATATATATCATATATTCTTCTGTTGGGTGATTGAGTGATGAAAGTCACAGTGAGTGGTTGAAAGAAATCCTTTTCTATTCAGAATAAACTTTTCACATCGAGCCATCTCGAGCGAGTTGGGAGCCTGTGCCTCCTCTCATTCTGGTTTTCTAGATGATATCCAAGCTGAACAGATAAATGTATTTGCAGCTTCCTACAGGGGTTTAAGTGCTGCTGAGGCTGCGTTGTAGGAGCTGTAAAAATGAGATGTGACTCCAACATCTGCTCGGGCGATGGGTGGCTGATAATTGACCACACAAGATTCCTGCCAGCTGCCCATTTTTCAGCGTTTGCACTTCGTTATTGCCCTTTATCCGGCAGTAAATAGAATTATTTCCCTCTTGAGGAGATCCTCCTCAGCAATTCCGGGTCTGTGTCAGCCACTGAAGTAGTGAGGCTCCTAAAACTGTGTTGCTTGGAGCAAAATCATGGACTGGTTGGAAGGGACCTTAAAGATCACCCAGTTCCACCCCCCTGCCATGGGCAGGGACACCTTCCACTGGACCAGGTTGCTCCAAGTGCCATCCTTGTCCCTCAGGTCCCTGGGAAGCTGACCTTTCCCCGGCAGGATTCCATCAGGAGCTCTCCTCGAGGCTTGGTGTGTTTGCTGGAGGTTTATGATGCTTTTAGCAATTCTATCAGGCTTCTTACAACCTGGCAGAAACCTGGTAAATGATTTCCTTGGATCCCTCTTGAATCAAAGGGAGAGGAGGAGGAAATACCTTATAAAGAGTCACAAACCATCTGGTCTTACTGTAATAACAAAGATCAATATCTTTAAAAAGCAGACAGCGTGTTTAAGGTGATGGAAAGGGAGAACAGTGTAAGGGAGCATATGGGGAAACAAATCTGTGAAATACAAATGAACTCTGTGCTTGCAGACTCTGGCTTGAAAGGGTCTGGTCTGTTGATTGATGCTGAGCTGGCTGAGGGAGAAAAAAAAAAAAAAACAACTTAATCTTGAAACAGTTCTTTCCTGCCCAAATTCATTTGGCTCGAACAGAGAGCAGGCAGGGAAGGTGCAGGACTGGGGCTGTGCTGACATGAAGGGAGGAATTACCTTTAGTGGCTGAGCCTGGGAGGGAGATATCACTTCAAAGGACATGAAATCCACCTCCAAACCCTGATTTTCAAGAGGTGTGGGCTGGGGTTTGGACGAGGGGATGGAATAGAAGTTGATAAAGCAGATTTCTAGGAGGTTTATGGTGAGGGGAGTGGGAAGAAATTTCCAGTTCTTAGAGGGTGACAGTCCTGGTCCAGGGGCTTCTCTCACATGGCTTCTGTTTGCAGGGGGGTTTGCAGAGATCATCAGAGCTCCTGGTTTCCAAATGAGTGGAACTTGCCTGAAAGTCTCATGCTGAGTCTGTAGTTTGGTCTCAGCTGCTGTGGAAGGATGAGGGATGTTTGAAACTGAACTTATTTAGGGTGTCACTGTCCCCTTTCCTGGGGTGTAATGGCCAAGAGGACTCTTCCTCTTTGCCTTTTAAGAGCTGTCCTGGAGAACCTCTCTAAACCCCCCATCCCAAACCCGTGGGTTTTCCAAGAACACTTTTTAAAAGTCCCTTCCAGAAGCACCTTTGTTTGTTTTTTTGGGTGAGAAATGTCAGTTTTCCTTTGGGTAAATAAAAGCTGACGCTGCAGTTGCTGAAGGAGGCCTGGAATTGCTCTGGAAGGGAAGGGCAGTGATTCACAGCCCTCACCACGTGACTGATGGAAAACCCTCGGGGTTTTGACTGGCCAAGGACATACAACTCACTGGCAGAGCTGGACTTGAGCAAGGGCAGCATTGCAGGGAAAGGACCTGTTCTGATGGAACACGGGGCATCTTCTCCCCAGCTCTTGGTGTGACCAGACTGCCTTGGCTTCAGACCTTCTGCTCACTGCCTGTTCTTGCTGCAGAAATAAAAGCTCTCTGTGCTGTGGATGTGCCAACCCTGTGCCAGGCAGATGTTCCTGGTTTTTCAGGAGTGACCCCCCCCCTCGCCCCGTGGTTCTCAGTGCTCCTTCAGATTTTATTTTCCTTTGCAAACCAGGTGGTTGATAAATTGTATTTCCTGAGTTGTGCTCGTCCCTGTGCACAAAGAAGAAAAGAAGAGGTGACAGAGTTGGCTTTCTAACTTATCTTTTCCGAAGTGCAGAAGGGGCAAAGCAGCCTCTAATGACGTGACAAAGCTTTGTCAAAGCACTCTGAGGCCTGCAGATAACCAAGCTCATTGAGGTAATTTGTTTGTTTGGGTTTTTTTTTAACCTTGCTTTTCTGAGGCTGCTTGCAGTTCTGTGGGGGTTTGCCTTGCTGCTTCAGAATGTGCAAATGAGAGGATTTAACAGCACTTTGGGAGGAAAATTGGCTCCTTGTTTGAAGTGCCTGTTAGTGGAGCCTTCAGCCTTTGTGGTGGGCCAGGGAGAAGGAGCTTTGCAAAGAGGGCGATAGAGCACAAAGCAGAGTCCCTGAAAGGACAGGCTTTAAACTCCTAAAATATAAACTTCTTCCTTTCCAAGGTGCCTTCTTAGAACGTGCTTTTCTTTTTTCAAAACCTCCTAAGAGGAAAATTAGGTACCATTTGCAAACCCTAAGGAAATGGAGGTGGTTTTTTTTTCAGTGAAGATGCTGTTCCAGCCTCTCATAGCAATGCTTCTCTTGTGTTTGTTTTAACTATTTGACTTCCTTTTGCAGAAATTACCCAAGGGCCAACAAGAAACCTACCCAGAGGTACAGCCATGCCCACTGGGTGAGCAAGAACTTGGCCAAACTCCACGATTTCCAGAGCATTCCCGACCACTTCCAGTGTAACCCCGTTTGATTTTTTCCGCTGTGTTCTGCCTTTAGGAGTTGATAACTGGTTTGGTTTTTAAGTGGTTTGTACTGGGACAAGTTGTCTTCTGATCTGCTTTTGAAAAGGCCAGTGGGAGTTTCCTCTGTTTGGGACAGGTTTGGAGATGAAGTTTAAACCTGGTCTGTTTGGTTTGTTGTTTTTTTTTTTGTGGGCAGCTTTTATGCCTTGCACCCTTGGGACTGCAACCAACCTCCTCACAGGTCACATTGGGGGTTGTTGGATCGTTGCACTGCTGGAAACTGGAAAAATGGGCTTTGAAGTGGGGGAAAAACTTGATCTAAAGCTTGGCATCGAATCTCCTGCAGCGATTGGGATCCCTTTGGGGAACAGAAAGGTTTAGAACTGGGAGAAGCAGCTGTGGCTGCTGTTCTGTTGGACAAAGCTCTGTGTGTGTGTTCCGAGCTCGGGAGAAGCTGCTGATGTCACTGCTGGCTTCTCTTGTTCTCTTGTTGTTTTTGTCCCTGAAAAGTTTGCCTTTTTTTGATTGTTTTGACTTGTTTTCCTTTGTGACTTCTCTTGTTAAAATATTTAACGAGATCTGCGCTCGAGTTTATAAATATTTTGTACCTGTTAAGTGTAGTTTTCTTTTTTTCCCCCTGTGTTACTGGGGCCTTTATTTCCCTTGCACTTGCCTTCCTGGGCTGCCCAGAGGAGTGTGACCTTGTGTTCCCTGGTGTGACACAATCCTGATCTCTGTGCTGCCTCCATTTCCTTCTCTAACAGAGCATAAAACCTCCAAATTATTTGCAGTTGGAGAGGTTGATCTTCAAAATGCTCTTCCCAGGGGTGTCAGCAGGACCTTATGAACGCCTTTAGGTGTTTATGGGGTGGGGGGTGGAATTTGGAGAGCAAATTAGGTTCATTCTTGTAGAGAATCATATTTTCATTATAGTAATTTGATCTGGTTTGGAGGTGCTTTTGGTTAATATGATTTTAACAGAGATAAAATTTAAGCTGATGTTTTCAGCGTCCTGGGTCATGTATTTTGTTCTTTTTGCCCTTCTGGAGCAGGACAGGAGGAGGTGGCTTGGAAAAGCAGGGAAAGTTTCTCACTGTCCCAGATGTGCAGTGACTGAGACGCAGAGAATGGAAAGTAATTTGTGCAGAGGATAAAGCAGGGGAGCAGGAGCAGAGCCTGGCACTGCCTGCCTGCACTGACTCCCAGATAACTCAGTGAGGGAGGAATCCATCCACACCACTTTTGGGGTGGGTTGCACAGCTGTGGGTGGTGCATGGCCGGTGTCAGGGCTTCGTGTCAGGAATTCTCCAGCAAATATCACGTTATTGATGCCCCCAGAGCCTCTTGGGGCGACTTTTACCTCTGTAAATGTTGTCCTCAGAGAACCTTTCATGGGAAGAGGAGGGCAGTTTCACCTGCTGTCCAGGTCACAGAATTCCAGAATGGTTTGGGTTGGAAGGGACCTTAAGGCTCATCTCATTCCATCCCCTGCCGTGGGCAGGGACACCTTCCACCAGCCCAGGGTGCTCCAAGCTGGCCTTGGACACTCCCAGGGATGGGGCAGCCACAGCTTCTGTGGGCAAAGCTGTGCCAGGGCCTGCCCACCCTCCTGGGGAGGAATTTCTTCAACCTCCTCCTGACAGAGTTTGGTGTCTGTGGCTCAGAGCATCTTCCCTGTGCTGGGCACCTCTGGCACAGGCAGGTGCCTCCTCCTGAGGTGTTTGTGAACGTGAAACCCTCACGTGGGTGGATGAGCACTGCCAGCTCTGCTCTCTGAGAGGGGTTGAGGCTTTGCTGCTGAAAATTTCCCTCTTTGACACTGCAAGTGATTCATATCTGCTGAATGGTGGAGACACTGCAGGGGGAGGGAGGGACTGTGGATTAAACCCTCGGTGGAAGGACGTGCTGTGTGTTTGCTTGAGTGCAGCCAAGGGCTGTGTTGATGATTTTTTGTGTTTTGTTGGGGTTTTTTTTGCTGTAGTAGAATCCAGTGCCATCAGTAAAGACTGCAAGGAACTGCTTTGTGCAGGCCCTGCGTGAGCTCTGAGATGAAATGCCTCACAATTAAAAATTTAATAGCATTCATCGACGTGTTGCAGGCAGCCAACAGCAGCTGGAGGACAATGGGACTGAAATTAAACTACTGTGTGGGGTTTTTTTCTGCCTTCCTCTCCAAAACTAACCAGCTCTTCCCTCCTTTTGTGCTGTAAGGGGGAAGAAATTATGTCCTGAAATGTAATAATATTCTCCCTTTGGTTGAGAGGATTTCCAGGTGCATCCTCTGCTGAACAGGTCTGGGTGATATAAATAGGCTTTATTTAAGCAGTCGGTGGCACTAAATGTGGGGGGTTTTGTCAGCTAAAAAGGACAAAGTGTCAAATGGCATCGTGGGGCTCTGTCATTACTGCCACTCGATGGTTTTGGATCCAGATCCCAAGGAAAAAAGATGGCTTTTCTGGCTGCCAACTTCGCTGCCTCCATCTGGGATCCGAAATTCAAGCTGTGTCTTCCCTGGCTCTGTCACTAATAATAAAGATTCCTCATTTTGGAGCTCACTTAAACAGAATTGATGCTGATGCAGGAGCTGAGAGAGAGAACCCAGCTCCCTTTTCCTCCAGACGTGTGGGCTGAAGCTCCAGCGAGGAGGAACATCCTCGTTTTAATCCACCGGGTCATCAGACGATTTAACAGGCACCAGATTTGTGGAGGAAACAGCAGATATTTTAGCAGAACAAGCGTGTTGATCGCGCAGCTTTTTGTTAAGGAGCGCTGGGAAGCTGCTGGAATGTGGTCAGCTCGGCGCTGATGGCTCATTATGCGTCGTTAGGAAGCGTTTCTGCAAATCTGGGGGAAATTACGGTCGGTGTGGAGCATATGGTGCGATGTTCAGCTCCCTCCTCGGGAAGCCAGGCTGACTGCTGGGTCAAAGAGGTGCCGTAGTTTTTATCGGGGGGAATGGATGTGCAGCTGCGACACTGGGTGACCTTTGATGTCTTTGGCAAGCGCTGGCATCAGCAGCCTGTTCCTCCCCGTTCAGATCTCCTCCAGAAAGTCATTACCGGCTGAGATTGTGCTAACACTTTCCGCCGTGTAGGTGTTTCCTCCTCGGTTGCTGTTGAACTGTCAAGGGATAAAATGCCTAATGTTCTCATTTTCCCTTGGAGGAGAGAGCCCAGAGCTTGTGCTGGTGCCTTGTGGCAGCGAGGGAGGTGTGAGAAGTGGCTGGTGCCGTGTTGTGAGCTGGAAGGACGCGCTGTGCAGGATTTGTTTGCTCCACACTTCCTCCCGCGGCTCCGCTTCCCTCGACTCGTGGGGGAGGAATAGATCGGCTAAATTGTACTTGTAGGCATAATATTACAGTGCTTGGAAGGAGGGGAAGGAGGCAAAGTGGTGCTTAACTTTAAACACGCCCCGAGTGTGCTGGCAAAGGGTTCTGTTTTGGAGCTTCTTGCTCCTGTTGTGCCCTCGGTCTCTGCTCTGTTGGTTCTTGGAAATCAACAGGATTAATCCCCAGGGGCTGCTGGGGGGCTGCTTCCCTTTGCTTTTAGAGATCAGCAGGGAACCAGCACTTGCAGGGCTCTCTGGGCTCCCTGTCATGCCAGCCCACTCCCACGTGCTGCTTTTTGGTATTTATTGAAACCTCCTTTTTTTTCCAGCTCCTGCTCCAACAATGAGTCAAAATCAGCAGTCGGGGAGAAACACGCGGGGAACGTGGGTGGCCTTTGGGGTATGTTCTGCTGTGGCCCAGCATGACTTCCCTCAGTGTGTCTTGGGTTTGTTTTTCCTTGATCCCTTCCCTTTATTGACTGTAAAACACCTCAGGAGTATCTGTTGGCAGCTGCTGCTGGGAATGAGGTCTCTGTTCTAAAGATGGGCTGGAACTCACACAGGCCCAGAGCCTTAATGGTGTTGGACTCTCATGGGTGACAGTGGAATTTAATACCTAACCAGCTTGGATGTTTATGACCCTCAGAAAAGCGGGATTTTAAACAACTTCCTTCTCCTATAAGGGGGGGAAAACCTTTTCCTAAAGTGTGGTCTTGTTGCATCACTTCAATCTGGAGTTGCTGAAAATATTTTCTTGAACTGGGTGGCTTGGAGTCCCTCTGTGAGCTGAGTTGCTGCCAGGCTACATTTGTTTCTCCTCACTAACAGCATTATTTCCTTACTCTCAGGGCATCAGTTATGGGGTGTGAATTTTGACTCTGACCCTTCACATTTTAATTCTGTCCTTCCCAAACTGAGTGGTCACCTCTCTGTTAGGAAAGAAGTGGCTTAAACCTGTTGCTGGGGAATAACAAAGGGGATATGGTCTGCATTCCCAGGGACAACTGTCTTTAAAATCAGCCACACAACCCCCCCCAAACTGCCAAATTACCAGGGTGAGATTCCTCTTGAGCACCTTCTGAGGGCTGTTTGCTTGCCTGTCTGCTCCAGGATTAGGAGAGAGCATCTCCCTTATCGTTTTGCACATGCTGTACCATCTGTCCCAAATCTCCCTTTAGAGGGCTGTGGATTCCAAATGCTGTTTCTTTCTTTAGGAGATAACAGCCGTGGCTGAAGGATTTTTGCTAGGTATGGCTCTGGTGCTATTTATGGTGCAGGGTTTGTTGTTTTTTTTTTTTGTCCTGCAGCCACAGCGAACTCTGAACCTTCCTGGGTTTCTCCACCCAGACATTTTGGGTTGTAGTCCCTGGGAAAGTCCCCCCCAAGTTCTGTGGTGCGTGTTCTGCTCGGAGCAGGTGAACATATAATTACTAAATTCAGATGTTACAAGGACACAGGAGATGCCTTTAATCTTTTATTGTACATTATAAAATGTTTATTGCTCTGTCTGGATCAGAGGTGTTGACCTCTCCCTCTTGGTGATGGAGGAGTATGTTCTGGCAAAGGATCCACTGAAGACACCTTTGGGGTTGGCCTGTCTTCTGAAACCAGCACAAGGGAAGCCTCTGCTTGTTCACCAGCACATCTGCAAGCAAACCTCCCTGTGCCTTTCTCCCAGACCAGCTCTTTTGGAAAGGCTGGTGCCAGTGGAAGAGGGGAGATGGCTCAAGTCCTTCCTGCCAGCCTGTTCCAACCCAGGCTCATCTGAGAGCAGGCTCGTTGTTTGAGATCCAAACCCTACCCAGGCCAACCTGTCTTGGCATTGGATGGAACAAGGAGGATCCTGCCTCATCCCCTAGTGCATATGGAGTGGTCTCGTGGAGTAATTAAATAAATACAGATACCCCATGGCACACTACAGAGAGGAAATCTTGTCCACCTGATGGTCCTGCATCTACCAGCTTCCAGAGCACCAGGGATCCTGTCAGCTTACAAACATCAAGCACTTGAGAAGAGAGAGGAGAACCCCAGCCCCTTTCCCGTTCACCCCCATCCCTTTTTGTCTCCAGCAGGCACCTGCCCTTCCAACACCCCAAAAACAGCACAGGCAGGGTAAGGAGAACCAGCCCTTCCCCACAGGAACCCTACTAAAAGAAGCATTTTAAGAACTTAAGCCCTCAGAAAAAGGTCCCTCAGGCCAGAGCCTTCCACAGCAAACAGCTCTTGCCCCTGGAGCCCTTGCATAGCAACCGGTACCATCAGGTATTCTGTCTTTTTGTTTGTTTGTTTGTTTTTGCTGACTGGCTACATTTTGATGGACCTTCCATCACACTGGTGGTGGACTCAGGCCCAGCTGAAAAATACCACGAAGAAAATGGTTGAAATTCTCCTGGAAGCCGAATAACAGCTTCTGGTGTCCCCTGGTGTTGGTCTGTGCCTCGGTGTTCCCCGGTTTGCTGAGGTGAAGAGCACCAGTGTGAGACAGCAGAGGCAGCAGCAGTGCAGATTGTGCTGCAGCCTGACCGGAGAACCACCAGGGCAGCTTCTCCTGGTGGCAATGGAAACTGGGGGATGCCTTTTTTTATTGGTTTTTTTTTTTTAAAAACCCACCTGGCAGGACGTGTTACACCACACACATCGATGAGCAAAGCGAGGCGAGAGCACACAGCAGCCAAAATTGGGCTGGGTGGTGGCGGTTGGGATGAGCTTCCCTCCATCCCTGCTCGGAGGGGGGTGTCGGTGCCTGGTGGGTGCCCGAGCTCCCGGGAATTCTGTCGGGGTGGAGCGACAGTGAGACCGAACAAAGACACAACAGAACCTCCCACGTTCCCAAAGACGGGAAAGTCGTCCCAGAAGGCGGAGTGTGAGGGTGGAAAGGAGTGTGGGAGACATTGCTCCAGCCCAGCTGACCCACGAGTCCGGGTCAGCACCGCTGCTTTTCCATCTTCTTTGGGTGTCAAGGGTTTTCTGAAGGATTCTCCTTCCTGGCCAGATGTTTGGCAGGACACGGGCGAGGAGGTGTCTGCCAGCAGGTGACAATCACTGGGTCTCTCTCCAGGTTGCTCTGACAATGTTTCACCTCCCCAGTCATCACGGCTCGGAGGCAGAAAGTGAGAGTGAGGGATGGAGTCCATCGATCGGGTGACAGGCCTGTCATGCTTCGATGATATTCACTGAGGGCTTGTTTTTTGGAAACTAGGAGAGAAGAGGAAACAAAGGGAGAAGGGATGGATAGAGGGGAAAAAAGAAAAAACAACCAAACCCACATCAGACATCAGTGCACTGTGCTGGTCAGATTTTTTGTAGATTCTCGTCCCATCCCCTCATGATGATGAAAAAGGGCCAGGGCTGAGCCTTGGGCTTCTTTGGCTGGTTCATCACTGCTGCTGAGGGAGCATCAGTTAGTGGACTATTTCAAATAATAAATAAATGTGAAGGGGTGGGGATGTGCCAGAGAGAATAGAAACACAAGGAAGTTAAATTAATTGAAAGAAGTTGGTCTAAATTAATAGGCTTGAGCCTGTTTACTAAGGCTGTGACAAACCTTTACCATCGTGCATGTTACCAGCCAGTGCTCCTGCTGATTAACTTCCAGTTAATCACAAGAGCAGTGTCCTCTTCGCCACATGCCTACCTGAGGGCTGTGGAAGGACCCGAGGAACTCATTTTTCTTCCAGAGGTGCTCAGATAATTCAGAACTGTGGGTTAAATCCTGATTTCTGATGGCGATTCGGGCCGATCCAGGGGCGTGGCTGGGAGGCTCAGAGCAGGGAGCGGTGCACGGGGGTGGAGGATGTTCCCTTTCTGCATCCTGGCTGCAGGGGGGGTGTTTAACAGAGGGTTTTTTGGGTGATTCAGGACGGTGTGCCCCGTCCCCAGCTCTCACCTTGCTGCGCAGGAGCCCCCCTCCCTGGTGCTCCGGGGTGCTGTTCTCCGAGGCGCTCTTGGCTTTCTCCTTGCTGTTGTTGGGCTCGTTATCTTTGATGATGTCGTACTGTCTGCAGAACAGGGCGATCACCCCTGGCAGGAAGAACCATTAATGATCACACAACAAACGAGCTCAGCCCCCGGAGCCTGCCGAGCTCAGAGACCCCTCCTTTGCCGGCCTCCTTTGTGCCTCCTCGGCAGCATCCGCAGTTCCTCCCAAGGATCATTTCCTAACGCAGCCAGGCAGCCCTCTGGCTCTTTCCTTCTCCCCGTGCCTAATTCCATGCTAAACTAGTTAGACAGGAGGACAGGAGCTTAATTATATCCCAACTTCCCCGTGTGTAAATGGAACAAGTGTTTGAAGCCCTCACGCCAACAACCGAGCCCTGCGGTTCAGTGGGATTTTTATTTTACTTTGCAAACACGGGGCCTGCTGGAGTTTCTGGTTAGTGAAAATGTGTCCTCTGATCTCTGTCCTCCGAGGGGGAGAAGAGCTGGAGCTGGCAGAGGGGAGGCAGGTCCTGTGTGCCAGCAGCAGGCAGGACAACACCTGCAAATGCGCAAGAGCAGCGGCAGCACAAGCTGCAAGTGGAAATTTCCTCCCACCCAGGCACGTGGAGAGGGAAGCAGGGGCAGCCACGGCACGTAAGAAGACTGCAAATGTCTGTCTCCAGAGCTCCTGTGTGATGCTTTCACCAAATAGCATCTCTGCCTGCTCATTCCAGACACGTAGGTTAAGCAGGTCCAGGCAGATGCTGCTTCTCCCTCACTGAAAAACACCCTCAATAGCAACACGAGCGTAAAACTTCCAGCAGATCATCCCAACCTGCTCTGGGAAGTGAGCTGTGGTTATGGCAGCTGCCCCCAGGGTTCAGTGGCATACACAGTGATCCCGACCCTTTCTTTGGGAATGTGGACAGATCCTCGGAGAGCAGGTGTTAACATCTGCCAGGGTCACACCTTCTGTGACCTCAGAGGGTAAAACCGAGGCACAAAGCAGCAGAATTGCCACGAAAAGTGCCAGAAACACGGACAGCACAAGAGTTCAGGGCTTGGCTCCATCCAAAACCCTGGGCAGGGACTGGTTCCAGTTTGGATTTGCTCAAACATCATCACACAGGGCAGGTTAAGAGGTTTTGTTGTTTGTTTGTTTTTACACTGAGACTTTGTAAAGAACCCACTCATGCAGAGAGATTCCCCCCCACCCCCTCTCCTTTTTAAATGTAAGTCATCTGTCTGGAAGGGAAATTGTGGGATTAGCAAATTCTTTGTTCCCAGCTGATCTGAGTTTCAGATTATTCTACAGGGGCAGATGGATCAGTTGTTCAGTCACTCCATGTAATTATTCATGATTGTTTTTCCTGGCAGGGCATTTAAATTTGGATGTGCACAAGTAAAACTTGGCATCGTTGCTGAAAAAAATCATGGGCTAGAGGTTTTGGAAACCCTTTAATTTAGTTTAGGTTTTTGTGTGGTTATTGTCTTTGGGAATAACTCCTGTCCTGTCTCTGGAGGTGCAAATAAGGGCAAAATAAATGTTATCCGTGTCACCTGAGCCATTTCCCCTGGACACTGAGGCTGAGGGCATTATATTTATGTCATTCTGGAAAAAATGAGATTGCAGGATTAGCCTTTGGGAATTGGCTCCATCAGGTGCATTACCTGCTCCTGGTGGATCAGACCAGACCCACTGATTCACCTGCTCTTGGCACTGCCCGACCTTACAGCTGAGAACTCCCCATCCTTGTGGGAGGAAGGGTCTCTTTTCAGGCCTTTCCATGTGCAAACCAAGCCAACCAGCCATCCCTAGGGATATTCCATGCTTTTGAGGGAGAGGTTGAACTGACCTGCCCACATGAACAACACCACAACAATGATGAGAATTTCCCCCGCTCGCAGCTGTTGGTTTTTCTTCGCCATCTCCTTCATCGTCACCTCATCTGCACAAAGGGGGGAAGAGAGACATGAAACCAAACACCCTGGCCCAAATCTGGGGTGTGTCAGGGTCACAGCTTTGAAGGAATCATCACTCTGATGGGAGGGCAGCTTAGGTTGGATGTCAGGAAGAAATTCCTCCCCAGGAGGGTGGGCAGGCCCTGGCACAGGTTGCCCAGAGAAGCTGTGGCTGCCCCATCCCTGGAAGTGTCCAAGGCCAGCTTGGAGCAACCTGGGCTAGTGGAAGGTGTCCCTGCCCATGGCAGGGGATGGAACTGGGTGACCTTTATGTCCCTTCCAAGTCAAACCATTCCATGATTCATTCTCTGATTCTGTGGCATCCTGAAGGGACAGAGCAGTGGGACAGGATCAACAGGAGCTGCCATGGAGTGAGCCCACCTATTACCTGTCCCTGTGGTGGCTCTGCTGTCTCTCTGTCCCTGTTAGTGCCTGTCACAAAGCCTTGCAAGCTCCAGCAGTCCCTGCAGCCTGGCAGGATGTTTTGCAGTGGAGCCCTGGGATTCAGAAACGAGCAGAGCGTTTCTGCAGGGCCTAATTCACCTCCTTGGCTTCAAAGCATTAAGAAGATTACAGTTCAGGCCCCCAGGAAGGGAGCACTGCTCCTCTTAGTGCTTTCAGATGAGCAGCAGTTCAGTATTTACAGCCCCCAAATCTTCTGGTAGAAAGAGTCAAGAACTTGCAACGTCCTTGGAAGCACGGCCAAATCCCTGGAACAGGCTGGATCCTCAGCAGGCAAACAGGGACCTGTGTGTCCCACAGCCCTGCACTCCCAGGCCCTTTTTGGATTCTTACTGACAGAAAACTCTCAACAATTTGATTTGGCTTGAGAGGAACAGGTGAAGGAGTTGCCAGCGAGGAAGTGCCTGATCTCCTCCATGGGGATATCCAAAACCCAGCTGGACGTGATCCTGGACAATCTACCCTGAGCAGGGCTTTGCACTGGGTGACCTCAAGAGGTTCTTTTCCACCCTCAGCTTTCTGTGATTGGGCAGAAATATTTCAAACGTAAGAAATATTTGGGGTATTTTTTTTTCCTTGCTACCCTGGAATCCAAGCACGGGGGACTCCACAAGTGCCCAGTGCCACCCAGGGGGCTGGTTCCACCTGAGTCCACAGACTGCTCAGGAATTTCCCCCTGGCATTCTCCACATGTAGGGAGCTGGAAACACAGCTCCCAGTGTGGAAACCTTCTCCTCCTCCTCGCTTTGCCTCTTAAACCTCATCTGAAATGGGAGAAAGGAGCAGCCTGCCTTGGCAGCATCTCCCTGTCACCTTGTGCACCCCTCAGCCTTGCCTGCTGGGTACCCTGAGGCGTCCTGCTCGTCCCCTGGGGGCTGTGAGAGGACACTCAGCCCCCAACCATTCTGCCTGCACAGGATCCCCTTTGCTCCCTGCAGAGCCCTGCGCTGCCTGGGCGTCCCCGGGGCCCACGGAGGAACTCACCCACACTTGCCTTTATTTTTAGAGGCTAGTTTCTCAGCTTCCCTGGGGGTCTTGAAGAGGACTGGCTCACTGGCAGGGCTCTGGCCTTGGATGCTGATGGACTGGACGTGCACAATGTACTCAGTGTCCTCCTCTAGGTCCCAGAGGGCACAGGAGCGGGTGGTGGTGTTCACCTCCTGGATGAAGCGCAGCATCCGCACGTCCTTCTTCTGGAAGCCGAGAGAGGAGAGCACGGAGTGGTGGGGAGGCCTCCCACGTGCACTGCCGTCACCCAAGGCCACCTTGCCTCCTGCCCTGCCCGCCAGGGACGCGGGGAGCCATCGGGCCCTTCCCCTCCCTGCAGCCGCCAACGCACCGAGCGCCGCCGCAAAGAGGGCAGGGAGCCGAGTCCCATCGGACCACGAGGGAGAGGACGAGAAGGAAGGGGCCTAAACTGCAGCAGGAGGAGGATTTGGGGGCTGAGGGGACCTGGGAGGGGTGGGGGGAAGATAAACATGACTGCAGGTGGGTTACTGTAGGCACTGTACCTGTTGGGAAATGGCAAATCCAATGACAACTTCGTCTTCCAGAACATCCCAAGTCACAACGGCCGAGTTGGCTTTCAGGTGTTTGACTGTGACATTTACTGGAGCCGACGGGCTGTCTGCAAGGAGGGAGAGCAGAGCCTTTACAGGGGCAGGAGATGGAGCTGGAGCAAGGGAGGGAGTGGGAAAAGACCTTCCTTGGGGTCCTTCCTGGCTTTGCTTCTGGATGTGGGAGCTGGGAATTGCGGGTACTCTGGGTCTCCCAGTGAGGTTCTAAGAGATCTTTACTGAGAGTATGAGTGTCACTAAAGTTCAAAGTGGGGAAATTTAGCTTAGATGTTGGGAAGGAATTCCTCCCTGGGAGGGTGGGCAGGCCCTGGCACAGGTTTGCCCAGAGAAGCTATGGCTGCCCCATCCCTGGAAGTGTCCAAGGCCAGGTTGGAGCAACCTGTGCCAGTGGGAGGTGTCCCTGCCCATGGCAGGGGGTGGAACTGGATGAGCTTTAAGGTCCCTTCCAACCCAAACCATTCCATTGATTCTGTGTATGAAATAAACTGACTCTTGGGAAGAATTTCTTTACCAACACAGCCAAGCCCTGAGCAGCTCATTCATCTCCTCCTCCCCAGCCACGCTCCACGTTCTCTCTGTTGTTCCCTAGTACGGTCTGACAGTGACAGCTGGGAGGAGATGCAAAATCTGCCTGGGAAGTATGCAAAGGGAATGCTTTGATGAGCACTCTGGAGGTTTGAATTGCAGGAGTAGTAACTGGGAGTGTTTCTTTGGCTTTTCCCTGTGAGTTTGGCAGAAAACATTTCATGCAGGTTTTGTGGCCGATGTCGGAGGACATCCAGCAGCCATCCCCCCACAGCTGGCAGGACACACCGAGGGATAGAGCACTGGGAGAGGATAGCAACAGCCTGAGGCTCTGTGTTTATTCCCAATTCCAGTAGAGTGGCTCCCTGGAGCTGCCAGCCCTGCCAAGGAGAGCTGGACTCCTGCACACCCTCCCTGGGAGCCTCTTCCCAAGGGAGCTGCAGAGTCCAAAGCCCTTCTTGGCATCTCTGACAAAGGTTTTACCTCGTGGACTTGGCACAGCTCTCCCAGCTGGACTCTGTTCCCTCTCCTCTGGTCACATTTAATTCACAATCTCCAGCTTGTGCCCTGAACCCAAAGCAGTAAATGCTCTAAATAACCCCAGGAGGGTGAGGATTAGCAATTTTTTTTTCTGACTTTTATAAGGAAATAACACTTTTGTTGCATTGGAATCCCTGCCCAGCCCCTTTGGGGCCGGGGCTGAGGTCACCAGTAAAAGAGGGGTGCACGTGTGCTCATCTCCAGTAACACTTGTTGGATTTATAGTCAGTCCCAGCCGCCTGGATGTGGCTGAAAATATTCAAGCTGTAGTGTCAGTGTCTCCAAACAGCTGACATCACTCCTGGTGAATGTTCCCCTGGGAGCACAGAATTCCCCAGCTGAAGGTCAGTGCTGTCCTGCACTCACAGAGCCTCCCACACCCCCCGGGGAATCCCAGAGGAATGGGATGTCTGGACAAGAGTCAGACCCAGACTGATTCCAGAGAGTCTCTCAGTGAGCAAAAAGGTTGCTGAATGGCCAAACTTGGGGCTTTGGGAGGAGCAGCAGGTGATTTTGGTCTCCAGGATTTCACAGGGGATGTGTCACTCCTTTCTAGGGCAGAGGGTGGAGTCGGTGTTGACCCCACAGCATTCCCATCTCCCAGGGGCTGGCCCTCATGGAATGAGGCAGTGTTCCCCAGCCAGCTCTTGGAGGAAGGGAACACTCATCATCCTCACCTTCCCCTGCAGCAGCAGGGCCAAGGACAAGCTGAGGAGGGAGATGGATCATCCTCCCCATCCCGAACACCAACCCCTGCTGTGGCACAGGGAAGGGACGTGGGTCTGCATCTCTCACCTTCCCCCGTGCCTGAACCTACCAGAGTCGGCTCTAATTTTAGGAAGGGGCAGTCAGCAGACAGGAATGTGCACAGGGAAGGTCTGTGAGTCATGCCTGATGAATTTGCTGGAACATAGGGAGAGGACATGACGGAGTTGAGGGACAGGAGACAAAACAGTCTCCAGCTGCAGCCGGGCACTTCTGCACCCTGAAATCCTGGCCTGGTTGTCTTCCCTGCATATTTTTAGGAGCTAAATTTTGGTGTGTTTTCTTTTTTTTTTTTTTTTTTCTTCCCTCCCAGGAGCTACCACTCAGCTTGAGTTGAGGAGGTTTTGGAAAAGATTAATTAACCCCATAGGAACAGAGAGCAGAGATCAGGGGAAAAGCTGGGAAAAGGGAACACACAGCACTCTGCTCTTGGCCCCCTTTGAAATTCGTGACCTTGAGGGAGGCACAGCATAAAAAAAGTGTCCCAAGTTTCCTGATGACATAAAATGTGGGGGAGCTGGGAAGACCTCAAAGAGCTGGGGAAGAGCAAAGAACCCTCTGGGAAGTGGTGGGAGAGGCTGGAGGCAGGAGGGAACACTTGGCAAAGCTGCAACCCAAGAGCTCAAAGCCTGCAAAGCCGGAATCTGAATGGAGGTGGGGGAGAAATCATCTGGTGTGGGTGGTCAGGAACATTCTAGAACCCTCCCACCCCCTTGAAGTAATACCTGAGAGAGAGGCAGACTGGTTGAAGTCAGCAGCTCTAAAATCTGGGAATCTAGGACAGCGGATGGGAGCGTGCCTTCCCTTGCACTGCCACAGATTAGGAGTGGCTACACATAAATCAGTGGTGTCAAACCAGCATGAAAAGCCCTCAGAAAAGAGAATTAAACGGTGTTTGACAGAAATACGAACCCAGGAGAAATGAGCTTCCTGCTCCCAGGGCTGAGTGAATAACTTGGAAGCAACATTTCCATCCGTGAGGATGCTTTTTCTCGCCGCTCCCGGGAGATGCACGATGAGATCATGACTTCCTAAAATCTAAGCACTGTTCCAAGATATCCCACGTGACTTTTGGCTCCCTGGGCCCCATTGCAGCTCTCTGTAGTGCCAGCCTGGCAGAGATCAGGTGGAGAAGGTGTAATTCCTGCTTCCCAGCTGCCTGCAGGGCCTTGAGGTGCCAAATCCAAACCTTTGCTTCCTCCCAGAGTCATGTGCAACTCCTGGAAACTTTGCTTCTGTGCCCGTGGCAGCCAGGCAAGGTGCTGGTGTCCAGGGAGCGGGCACAGAGGGTGGGATGGCTGCAGGGATAGCAGGGAATATGTTGTGGATCAAGCCTTTCTCTGCCTGTTTACTGCAGGATCCCCTGAGGGCAGCACATTCCCTGTCTGGTCCTGAAGGGACCCGTGGGGTGCAATATTCCTGGTTTAGCAGTTTAGCTTCATCCCAGCGCAGGAGCTGTGATGCTGCTGGAACAAATCCTACCCTGCAAACTGGCAGAGGATCTGCTTGGCCAAATTTGGATGGAAAGATACTCCTGTCCTCGTATCAGCAGGAAGTGGCCCCTCCTTTCCCCTGCAAGGGGGAGCCTTGGTGATCTAAGAGGGAATCAAGGCTGTTAAACATGAGCAGCGGCTTCAAATCTGAGAATTCTAAAGTCATGTCTCGTTTCCTTCCCGCAGAATCCGCAATCTTAGATCCCCCAGGGCAGGCTGTCCCAGCTCTGCCTCCCTCTTCACCTGGAGCCCTTTTGGCAGGTGCAGGTCGGCGCCTCCGCTGCGCAGCAAGAAGACATGAGCCACTGGAGATTATCCCAGATCCCCTCTGGATCCTGAGAACCCCTTCCAGCCTCCCATTAAATGTTTTCCTCGTTATTAGTGGACTTTTGTTTGAGAGAGAACCACCCCCCCTCCCTCCATGAACACTTGAGAGTCCTGGGTTGGCTCCTCCCTGGCTTTGTTATCCTGGGCCACAAAGGCATCAGGGAAGGAAAGGAGGAATCTACGGAAATATCACACCCTTGGAGGTCACCTCAGGCTGGCCAAGTCCTGTGGCTGGGCTATAGGTTTGGAATTAAAGTGTATCCCTGGATTTATCTCCCCAGCCAAGGGGCCCAGCCTGGCCCCAAAACCTCCCTCTGAATTCGACTGTCCTGGAAACTCCAGCCACTTGGAGGTGCCTGGGATTTCTTCCTACGTGGCTGAGGCTGTGTTGTACTCCCAGCATTTCCCAGTTCCATTAGCTCCTCTCCCAGGCAGCTCCTTTCCTACTGGGAAGGGCTCAGAGCCTCAGAGCCCCAGGGACGTGGCCCAGTGAGCCGAGTGCCTGCCGAGGCTCTGAGGCAGCTCCTTCCATGCTATCCACCTGCCAGCTGCCCTTTCCTGCAGGAAGCAGTGAATGCCAGCCTTAAATCCCAGCAGCTCTTTATCCCTGCACCCTGCAGATGCGGGAGATGGAAGGACAGGACCGGCAAGGGGAAGGATCATCCGCGAGATCCGTGTGATGTTCTCGTGTGGATTCACACAGAGCTGCTTTTGCTGCCTCTCTGAGCTCTCTTGAGCTCTCCCAGCATGGATCCCATCAGTGGATATAATTGCTTGCAGGCTTTGTGGGGTGTGTAGGGAGGGCTGGCACCTTGCTCAGCATTCCCGAGGGTTTTAACGAGGGGGAACCCCAGGGGAGTGCGAGGGAGCAGGGCCCGTCCCGCTCCCAGCCCCGTGGGAAGCGGGGCTGTTTGCTGAGCTCTGGCAATTCCCAAGAGCAGAAAGACCAAGCGGTGGTTCTTCGGGCTGGGAAAGAGGCAATTATTTCCTGCTGACCGCCCACTTCCCTGCAAAAACCGGGATATTAATAGGGCAGCCCCCTCCCACCCACCCCTCGGCTCTGCTGCTGATTCCCAGGGAGGAGGTGCCCAAACGTGAGGGTGGAAAAGCTGTCAGGGAGGATGGAGCGTGGAGATGCTCGCTGTGTCCAGCCTGCCCACTGGGAATCCCTCAAGGCAGAAGGAAGGGGTGTTTGTGCTTTGGGCAGTCCCACACTGTGCCAAACCTTGGGGTCCCTGAGCCCCAAAGCCGGGCAGGACCCGCTCGGGTCTCTGCAAACAACGCCACGGTTTGGATTTCAGTGCTGCAAACCCACGGCAGGTTCATTGCCATCCTTGGCATGGCTTACCCAGGACCTGAATGTCTGTGGGTTTTCCTAACTCCTCTCAGCCCACCCCTCTGTAATATCTGAGAATCCACAGGCAGAGGGGCTGAGCAAGCCCAGGATTTTCCCAGGCAGCACCAGACCTCAGGCTACTCCCAACCCAGCTCTGCTCTTGTATCCCACTTTTTACTGCACACATAAAGACTTCGCAGCTTCATTGCTCAATACATTTCTGCTTTTAACTCAATTATACTCGATTCAGGCCTTAATTCGGCCTCTGGGCACTTTATAAACCAGGAGGGGTTTATTTAGCAATAAATTTCCGAAGGACGAGGCCTTGTCCAGTACCAGCACATGGATGGTACTCCGTGGAGGACCCTGAGCATGGTTAATGCCTGCTGGCACGTCCTCTGGGCAGAATCTCCCTTTTCCATGGGTATATTCCCAGCAGGAGACAGGGTTTGGAGGAGGATGGCACAACCTCAGCAGCATCCTTGCTGAGAGGCTGACACAGAGGTTGGAAACCTCCCCGCTCCAATTAAACCTCTCCTGCACGGAATGCAGAAATCAATAAAGTGCTTACGCCTGGCCTGAGCTGGCCAGGAATCTCCGTGGCCTCCGGGATGGAGGGAAGGGACCGGAATGGGTTGGTTTGCTGTTCCCAGGGAGCTCCCAGAGCCATCGCTGCTCTCTCCCTGCCGCGTGTGCTCAGCTCGTGGCTCGGTCTGATCCTGCCCCACCATGGGTGAGCTCAGCTCCCCGGGCTCAGGGGGGAGGGTGAGCACATCCAGGTGGGCACAGGGCAGGAATCAGCGCCTGGAGTCCGATTGGCACCTTTGCTTTGCTCTCCTTGCCCCCTGAGGCCGGGGGGCTGCCTGGGGAGGGGGTGAGGATGGAGATTCACCTCAGCAGAGGAGGAGGTGGCTGCTTTGCAGCGTGGCTTGGGGTGTGAGGACACACCTGAGAGCTGAGCAGTGACCAGAATCCAGCCAGGGGGGTTGGCCCCTTTTTGAGCAGCAGAGATGGGGGGGCTGTTGAGGGGCTCCTTACACTGGAGGCCAGTCCAGGTCTTGTGCTGGCAGGGGAGGTTTCATCTCCACCTGGGCAATGTGTCACCTCTGCCCTCCATCTCACAAAAACAAACCCCACTTGAGCTGCTCTCTGGGCCAGCACCTTGCAGGAATGCTCTTTGCCCTAAAAAGTTGCAGGGGCCATGGCTTATTTCGGGGTCTTCCATCATCTCCCTGCTGCTCTTGGAGCCCTCAGCAGTGCCCTGAGCCCAGCCCAGCTCACCCCCCCCTTCATTAGCTCAGCCTAACGAGGAGCTGCTGGCAGAGCAACGCTGTGGCAAAATTAAATCCTGTCTCTGACTTGCCAACCATCCTGAGTGTTTCCTCAGGGACCCTCTGGAGCAGCAGGAATGACTCGGAGGGCGTCACCTGCACAGGTGGGGTGCTGATGGCTCTCAGAGAGTGTTGGTGTGGAGGTTATTTCTCAGCTACTTTTTCCTCCTGGTCCTGCTTCTGGTTCTTGTTCACCTTGGCATCACCTTGCCAGAAAAATGGTCCTGTCTGGCCTAATCCCTGTTCAGAGCAGGGCCTGTGCTCAGTGTCACTCACTCACTCACCCCTTGCCGTGGCTTTCTCAGGGGGAATTTGCACCAGTTCCCTCCTGGGAACAGCAGCTTGAACCTTTCACAGTGGGAATTACTTTAAACCCACTTGCACAAGCTCTGGGACCAGAGGGAAAGGACCCCTGAGCCTCCATCCCTGCCTGGGAATGATTTCCTCTCCATGGGCTTTTCCAGTGACTCTTGGTTTGGGTGCCTCAGTGGCCTCGTGGCCACACCATCAGGTAGAGCCAGGGACACAGAGCTGGTGGTGGTGCTGCCACTACCTCCGTGTGACCTTGGGAAAACCACTCCAGACCCTCATTCCTCTGTTCCTTCTCTGAAAAACAAGGGCAGGACAAGTTCGCTGCCTCTCTGGGATCGTGGGCAGAGCTCATCACCACCCTTGGCAAAGGAGGCAGGCGGGGAGAGGAGGCAGCAGGGCTGGGTGGCCCAACACCAAGGTCATCCAGGTCCATCAGAGCCCACATCTGAGCCTCCTGCCTCCCCAGCACACGCCGTGCCCATGAGACAGGGCAGCTCTCCGTGCCCACGGGGCTGCCCAGCTCCTACGCATGGCATAGACACCTCGGGACACGGGCAGGAGCAGGGGGTGGTGGTGGGCAGGGGCACAACTCCGGGTTTAGTCCCAGTTTGATGACTGGGGTGACTCAAGGATAAGGAAGAGCAGGGAAGTGGCCTAGTTTATGGAAAATCGGCAGGGCTGTCACAATTGCAGACGCCTCCATTGTGCCGCGGTGTTTTCCTCATCGCTCCCTCCTCCTGGGAATGTTTTCATTAATCTCCCCGGGTCTGTCAGTTGTGAAACGGCAACTTCAGAGGCCAAGGATGGATGTCAGAGCTGAAGGAATTCGGGGGGGTTGCTGCAGAATGTAACTCCAGCAACTCCCGGGGCTGACTCGGGCAAAGGAATTTCCACTCCCTGGAGCTCCTGCATCCCTGACAGTCACCCCCAGCCTCCTGGAATGCAAGGTATCCTGGCAATCAGCAGTTTGCAAATCGAAGCAGCTGTTCCACCAACATCTTGCAGCCAGCCAGGGAAGGAGACAGCCCTCGACTGCCTGCACAGAGCCGGGGAGGGTGGCTGGGCTGGGGAGCAGCACCAGCACTGCCCAGTTTGCACCCACACATGGGGTGGTGGGGTCAAGGCTCAGCACGGCCAATGCAGGCAAGAGTGGACCTGAGCACGTCCTGGTCGCTCCAAAATCAGGTCCAGCTCGTGGAGCCCTTTGCCTTCTCCACAGATCCCCCACTGCTCAGCTCAGCTCACTCCAGCTCAGAGGGGCCTGGTTTCCAGTGGCTGGGACGTGCTGTGCCCCTGGTGAGGTGGTTCCTCTGGGGCCGTGGTGCTCTCCCAGCTCACAGGGCTCCCAGCTGGGCCCCGGACAGCCGGGGGTGAGCCGGGCAGGGGGATTGCCGAGGCTGACGTGCCACGGCACCGGCAGAGCAGGTCTGGCTTTGCCCCCTCCGCTCCAGTCCACCCCAGTGACACGAACCGGTGCCGCTGTTCAGGTGCCCAAGAGCTTTCGCCTCTCCGTGCCCAGCGCTGCGCGAGGGGCTCGGCTCGCTCCCCCTGTCCCCACAGCGCATCCCCACGAGCCGCCTTTCCCGGGGATGCCCGGCTGGAGCGCCCACGCCGGGACCCCGCGGGGGCGAGCGCCCGGCTCTCCCCGAGCCCGGTGCCGCGGGGCTGGGCGCCCGAGACCGCCGCCTCTTCTGCACCCAAATCCCCACCAAGTCCCGGCGCCCCCCAAAACTCCGTCCCCGGCGGTGTGGAGTGGGGGGTGTCTCCCCGCACCGCAACCCCCTCCCCGCAGCCCCGGTAGCCGCTCCCGGGGGCCCGGCCGCCCGTACCTGCCTCCACCGGGCGCAGTCCGGCGTAGCTGAAGCAGAGCAGGAGCGCGGCGCCGGTGCAGCCGAGGAAGGGCTCCATCCCCCGCGGCCGCTCGGGGCCGGGCCGAGCCGCTCCGGGCCGGGCCGGGCCGGGCCCCGCCGGCGGCGCGTCCTGCGGGCACGGGGGAGCCGTTCAGCACCGCGGAGAGCGCCGGGGCCGGGGCCGGTACCACCGGGGCCGCCGGTGCCGCCCGGTGCGGCGGGGCTCGGCAGCGCCCGGCTCGGCTCGGCTCGGTTCGGCACGGCTCGGCACGGCACGGCACGGAACGGCTGGGCTCGACCGGGAGGCGGCCCCGCCGAGCCCCGGCTCCGCCCGCTGCAGCGCCGGGCAGCCCCGCTCCGGTCCCTCCCCCGGCCCCGGGGGCGCTGGGACGGGGGCGGCTCGGGCCCCCCGCCCGGCACGGCCCCGCTCTCTGCCTCAGTTTCCCCGAGCCGCCGGGTCCCGGCACGGCCCTGCCGGGGGCTACTCGGGACACCGCAGCGAGCAGATGGGGTCCCACTCCCACCCGAGACCACCAGCGGGGACGTGCCACCCCCAGGGTGTCACTGAGTCCCTGCGAGTCACCAGGCTCTGAGTTCCGTGATAAGAGGATGAGATGAGTCTCTGGAATTAGCCTCCAGGTTAATTAACCGGCACCCTCTGATTAGTGGTGGCTAATTGGTGGGAATAGAAGCCGTGACCCCAACTGCCAAATCATGTGACATCGGCTGGGGGGACCCTGCTGCGACCCCTCTGCCCTGCCCCACCAGCAATGGGGTGTCCTGCTGGCTGTGATGGCACAGGGTTGGTGCCACCGGGCAGGGACAACGGGTTCCAGCAGGCATGGATGGGTCTGACTGGGGCACCCAGCTGTGCTGCAGGGGTGGGGGGTGTTAGAGCCTGTGCCGTGGGTCTGGGCAGCATCACTGCCTGGCTGTCTGTCTGTCCCCACCTGCCCCAGGGGTGTGGCGTCAGTGGGGTCCCTGTGGTTCAGTTTACGGACCGATGGTTTGTCTCCACTCATCCATCCAACTGGATGAAGAAGGGGAATGAATCAGGTGTGAGGGGTTTGGTGTCAGCAGCCTCTGCCTCCATCCCATTCCCACCCTCCTGCAGTGGTGCTGGGGACCCTCAGGCCATGCACAGACACTGCTGTGCTTGGGGGTCACAGGGAGATACCCCCAAGCTGAGGGGTGTAGAGGAGATCCTGCAGAGCTCCGAGTGTCTCCTTGTCAACCAAAGCTCCTTCCAGGCACCCATTGCCCAAGAGACACTCCAAAAACCTCCACCAGAGCCAGGAGACAGCCCTGCCCTGCCAAACCCACGCCATTCCACCCCTCTTCCCTCAGCCTGGATGCTGATAATTCCCAGCACAGTGTCTGTGTCCATGCTCCCCATCGCGGTGCCGGGGCTGCAGCGGCTGCATCCCAGGGAAGCGCCTGTGGTGCCTCCTTTTCATCTCCTGCCTGGCAGCAGATTAAAATTTCATCACTTCAAGCAGTGGAGAAGGTGCAGGGGAGGAGCAGGAGCCCCGGGCTGAGCTGCCCACGCTGAGCTCGGTGCCCACCCCAAATCCAGGCACACGTGGCTGGGCTGGCTGAGCTCGGCCGGTGGAGCAGGATTTGGGCACAGCCATGCAGGGGTGGCTGCAGGCCGGGCTGCTGCTTCCCTTGGGCTTTCCCTCACCGGAGCACGAGGCTGGGCAGGAGACACTGCTGGGATCTGCTCTCCTGCTGGTGCTTCCTCCATGGACTGAGCACCTGGAGCAGCACCCCAGACCCCCCAGTTCCGAGGCAGGTGCAGCCAAACAGGCCCCAGAAATGCAAAGCCGAGGTCTCAGCAGGATGTGCCTCCATGCCAACAGCAGCACAGGGATCTCCAAATCCCCCAGCAGCAGCGAGATGGAGGGACTGTCACACAAATCCAGTAGTTCCCAGCCTGGCTGGACCTCCTCCTATGCCAACAGCGAGGGGCCCAACACGTGAGATGGCCGATGTTTTACCCCCATTGCTCCTGGCAGATGTGGGAGGACTGGTCCCTGTCATCCCACTGCCTCCCAGGCTCCCACAGGAGGGTTTTTGATGTGTCCTGGTATTTTTCCAGAGGCTGAACACGGATAGCACCACAATTCCTTGTTTTTTCCCTTTCTCCTTTTCTAAATAAAGGGGGAGACGTTGCTCTTTTCCAGCCCCATGACATCTGCCACCCTCAGTGGGTGCCCTGGGACCTCCCCATGGCACTGAGGTCCCCTCCAGGGCTCAGGTCTGGGCTGCTCCTGGATCCCTGGGACAGACCTTGCTGTGCTGGTCCTTTCCCAGTCCCCTCCCCTTTCCCACCACTAGGCAAGGTTTTTCGGGGTGTCCTGGCCCCCCATGCCCCCTCTGGGCTCTGTGCAGTGCGGAGCCTCCCCCACCTCCCCAGCCCATCACTATTCAAGTCACACGAGCCCATCGCGCGTCCCCGTCTGCCAATTAAGTCACAGCTCTAATTACGCACTCAGGCTCCGCAGACGCTCCTCTCTTCCCTCTCCCAACACCAGACGGACACCTGGGAGGCCGCCAGCTGTCCCCTCCTCTCACCCAGCCCCTCCTGTCCCGCCCCACCCTCAGCACGCTGGGCTGGGCTCTGGCAGGAGCTGAGCACAGAGACACGGCACTGTGACACCAAAAACTGTCCCCAGGTCGGTGCTGTGGGGCAGGGCCATTGGGAGGGGCCTCCTGCGCAGCCCAGGAGGGAACTGGATGTGTGCAGAGATGCTCTGGATGCCCCCCAAGAAGCAGTCCCAGTCCTGGGGTGCCCAGGGGATGATGTGGGGACAGAGTGATGTTGGCAGATCTGGGGGACCCTGCTCTTCTGCTCCCCAGAGCTGTAGCTGTGCCCCAGGAGCAGCTCAGTGCCCCCCAAGCATCACCTGCACCTCCCTGTGCCACCCCAAGCTCATGGGGGAGAAGGTTCCCTGCACCCCATCACAGAACATCACCTGTGTGGGCACCCACTGGGAGCTGCTCCAGGGTCTTGTTCCCCCCGCCCCAGCCCCTGGGGGCTCCTGTCTGGATGTGGACACCCACGAGGGGACTCTGCATGTTGGGGGGACCCGTCCCCGCAGCCCCGGCGCTGCCGAAAGCCGCTGCTGCCACCTGCCGTCATCGAGCCGGGTCCGGCCCCGCGCAGCGCCGGGTGAGGCGGGGGGACACGGCAGGGACCCCCCAGCATCCCACCCGCACCCCCGCGAGGGGACCCGCACCCCCACTCCCCGCGGGGCCCTGCCCCGGGGGGCGGGGATGGACACGAGGGGACTGGGGGGACCCCAGTTTGGAGCCCACCGATTGGGAGCCCCCCTGCTCGGACTCCCCCCAAATCCAAGCCCCCCGAACCCTCTGCCCCGGCTGCCGATGTCCCCCCCACCCCGCGTCCCCGAGGCTCCTCGGTCACCCCGTGAGACGGGGAGGGAGGCCACGAGAGGGAGCCCCGGGCTCGCTGCGTGGCTGTGGCACTGGTGGGAGTGGTGACAGTGGTGGCACTGGTGACACTGAGAGCACTGACAGCAGTGGTGGTGGTGGCGGTGGTGGCACTGGTGATGGGGGTGGCACTGGTGGCACTGCTGGCAGTGGTGATGGCATTTTCCCCCTCTGTTCCTTGAGGAGGGCAGGGGGACAAGGGCCAAGGCCGGGTCTAGACCCCTCTGGGTGCCCTCCTGCTTGCCCCAGTGACAGACCCCCCATTGTCACCCATTCCTGCATCAGCAGGGCCGTGACTCCCCTGGGACAGTGGCATCACCTCCACATCCCTCCCTCCCTGTGCTGGGGCACAGCAGGGATGAGCCACAGGCCCCAGCCAGCCCTGGGCACGGCCTGACCCCTGGCAGGATCCAGCTGGGGTCCCAAACTGCTGGGCAGGATGAACTGGGGCACAACCTGGCCATGGCCTGTCCCTGGCTCGGGCAGGTGACACAAACTCCGTGACTCTCTGGGCACGGTGACAAACCCTTTGAGGCTTTGCACTTCCCCAGCCGCTGCCAGGGGAGGTGGCACAGAAAAACTGGGCACCACGGTGCCCCCAGCACCCTCAACACCACCCCTCCCACAGCCACTTCCAGAGCTGGGGACACCCCTGTGCCCCAACTGCCCCGAAACACAGCCCGGCCCTGAGCACACGTGTCCCGGTGCCAACGCCCCGCGGGGACAAGGACAGTGTCCCCGGGAGCCCCGACCTTGGCTGCCCGGGCAAGGTGAGCCGTACGTGCCGCAGGGCAGCGCCCCGGGCGTGGCACGTGGGCACGAGGGGATTTGGGGCCGTGGGGACACGGGATGGAGCCACCCCGTTTGGAAATGTTACGAAACCTCCCCGCACCCCCGCCGTGCTCAGGCAAGATTTAGCGGGGAGAGTGGCTCCTGATCCAGATGAGATCGGGCATCACAAAGGGCTTTGTATTCCAGGAAGCCTATTAGAGATTTAAATTATACAAATGGGCTTTTTACCAAAGATCCTCATTATCTGGTCATTTGCTTTTAATCCTCGGCTCTTCCTCGCAGCCCCTGCCCCATGCTCTGCTCCTCTTACCTTCCCTGGGTCCTCTCTGGGGACCTGTATGGGCACAGGGACAAGTTCTGGGGTCAGTGTGGGCCCCCAGGGAGGGGTCTCTTGGGTATCAGGGACACCCTGGTTGGGTTCACTGGTACAACGAGGATCTGAGTCCCTCTGGCTTTGCCCTCTCCCCTCCCAGTTCAGGCTGCAGGGTTGGTGCCTGTTGGTCTGTTTGGGATCAAACTTCCTTAGGGCCCATTCACAGGGCACGCCTGGGCTCCTCCTGTGCCACCCCTGGCTCTGTGGGATCCCTGGAAGATGCTCCCTAGGGCACTTGGGGCTGGTGAGGCGGATGCTGGACCCCAAATCACCAAGCCCTGGGCACCCCGGCCACCATCAACGCCCATCGGCTCTGGAACCACACCCAGGGCCATGACAAGGCCAGAACACGCTGCCCTGCCCGCAGGGACACGGTGATCTCCCTCCCGAGGTGCCCCCTGCAGCCCCATCCCAACCTGCTCTGCTGCAGTGAAGCCTCAGGGGCTTCATGGCTGCTATGACAACGCAGGAGATTCCCACAGAAATCCCTGCGAGGAGGAGCAGGAGAAGGGGAAGGAGGAGGAGAAGAAGGAGAAGGAGGAAGAGGGAAGAAGAGGGGGAATCTCCCAGCACCCCATGTCTCCCCCTGCCAACTTTGGGAAGGTGTCCCAGCCGTGCTCGTGGTGGTTTTGGAGTCCT